GTTTTGGGCTTTGAAAGCTACTGGGACATCATGTTTAGAAAATAAACGTCTCAGTTTTTCCGAAACACCCGCAACATTCGGAATAACCACTGGTTTGGGTCTGGGTTTGGGGTCTTCATTTTCACCTGAAGGTTGCATGGAATCCTGTCTGTGTTTCCTGTCTACAAAAGTAATCATTAAATGTGAGTCTACATTGTGACATTTACACTCCCAGTATTGCTGTGAATATACTGAAATATGGACAAAATTCTATCAGATACAATGTATCTTTAAACCTCACAAAGTGTTTTTTATATACATAACTCAAGTAAAAAAAAAAAAAACACAGACGGGTACCTGACCCAACTGTTCCTGCTCACCTGTAGTTTACAGACCGGTGAGGTCCCTGCTGACTCACAGCTGGAGTTTAAAAAGCACCTTCCAATTGAGGAACAACATTCAGCTCCACAAAGCCCAGCAATTACTCTCAAACACGGCTTTACAGGTGTAGTAGAGTACTGACAACACAGCTTTGGAGGCACTTGTTTAAAGAGACTGTTATGTGGAGAGGGATCTGAGAGGTGTAAGGATAATGTCCTCCTCATGCAGAAGAATTTTCTCAGTGAAAAAAAAAGAAAACCATGAGGAAACTTGGTTTACAGAAACAATTAAAAACTTTTTTTTTTTTACCTTGGTTCTCTAAAGGAGGTTGTAGTGGTCATTACCTGTTTCTGTGTGATTAAGGGTCTGCACGGTTCTCTGAGCCAAATCTATTATTCTGTCCACTTTAAAGGATTTCAGATCCTCTTCATCCAAAGCAATGTCTCCCAGAAAGGCAGCTGAAACAAAAGAAAAATCACAGAAAGGTCAAAGCCAATTTAAAGCATCACTTTTATAACCAGCCTGAGGCACAAGACCTGTCCAAACTCTCGAGGCACCGTCGGAAAGTACGCTCTCTGAACTCGACTCTGTTTACATTTTCCTCATCGTGAAATAAAAATAGAGTCGTTGGGCAGAAGCGTGTCTCGGTTCAGTTTTAGGAGGAGAAAGAAGGCAACGTATATCACACAGGGGTCATAAAGTAGTGCAGTAACCCTGCCGTCTGTTGGCACGGTAAAGTTACAGTCCAAACGTTAACCAACAACAGAGGTTATATTGTGCGCTCCGACACTCCTGGATAGTTACGATTTGAAACAATAAGATGCTGACACGGACTTCGTGGAGTAATATGGGGCACCTTGAACGAGTAACGGCCCTTTAATGAGGCCAAGGAGATGGAAAAGAACCAAACAGTCACATTTTATGAGGAAAGGGCTTCATTAGATTTCCTACTAAACGTCCCTTTTGCTAGAAGTTCTCCCCGCAGAGACAGGGTGCTCAGATTTTACAGGCTTTTAACACCAGAACGTTTACAGAATTTATGGCCCAGCGTGTATGCAGGAGTTCGAGGGGATTGGGAGGGGGGGGGGTGTCATCGAGTAATGTGAAGCAGTGGAGGGAGGGGGAGATATAGCAAAGGGGTGGCACCATAATTTATCTCTGAACAGGAGATGACAGTGAAAAGGGAAGAGAGGGAGAGGAAGGAGACGTATCCCCTCTGATCGTGCCACAGTTTTGAGCAGAAAAGGACAATGACGGGTCAAAAAAACCCAGAGCAGTCTTTAAATATAGTTTAGTGAGTTGCTTTACAGTTTCAGTCTTATTATTTTTAATAATGTCCAAAAATATGTTTTATAGTGACTGTTGAAACAGCACTGTTTTTTTAAGCTGCCAACAACAACACTTTATCTTAAGGCGCTTTCATAACAAAAAGTCACGGAGGTCTGGGAAAAAAACAAGAAAAAAATGTGAAAAGGAAGAAGAGCACAATAGAAACAAAGAGGGAGGAGGAAAAATAGCTCAAATCCCTTTTCACCAGTGGAGTAAGATTAAAACAATCTGAGACGAGCGTGGGTTGACTCAGACCCGTTCTCCACCCTGTGAGTTGTAGAGGATGCAGCGGGAGGATGAGGAGGATTAGAGGTTAACAACAGCAATAAGAAAAGGTGTAGATGAGTCCAGGCAAGACGAGGCACGCACCGAGGACACGTTTGAATTCCAGAGGTCAGAGGGATCGTTTCGTTCAAATCTGAGACGCAAACCAGAGTGCTCCGCAGCCTACGTTCACTCTGACAGCTATTGGCAAAAACATTACTGATACGGAGACGCTACCAGATGTTCTGCAGAAGATGGATGGATTCGCCACAAAATTACGTCTTTTGTTTTAACATTTTTATTAGATTCTGAGAAGTGCTGAAAAGAACAGACAGTACTTGAAGTCTAAGCGCTTTGCGTAAGTCCTAAACATAAAAAATAAATAATAAAGATAAATAAATATTAAAGACAAATAAATAATAAAGAATCTGAAGATGTAGAAATATTTTTATTACACAAAAGGTTCAAAAGATTATTCTTCCTGCATGCTAAACAACATAAAGATTACAGTACAAATAGGTTGAAGATGAGTTTTAAAGAAATCTTATGAACATTTAATATCTTACCTGTTGCAGATAACGCTGTATTGACAAGTTAACAGCTAGTTTGACAAGTTACGAAACCAAAGTGGATTGCTGCCATCTTAAAACAACTCGTATATCAAAAATAACACAGTGATTTATGAAAACACTATTTCCTGCACTTTTACACCACCATCAGTTTTGCACCATGTGGTCATATTAATAGAATTCTGTGTTTTTGCAAGCACTAGCAGCAGCTAGCTGTAAAGTATCTGTGGAGCCTGGGGCACTTCCTGCATCAATATTTCTCATATTTTTGTAAAATAACAGTGTAAAAAAAGACTAACAGCAAAGTAAAAATTTGTAAAATAAGAGTTTGCATGAACCACTACGACATTAAATCCATTTTTTTAGCTGTTAAATGCATTTTGTTGTGTACTTGGGAGTCTCCAGGAGTGCAGAAATGTTTCTATGATATTTTGCAACAGAACTGCCAAATAAGGTCTGGACTCGCCAATTACAATTTGGTTGTCTTCATTCTCCTCTCGGTTAGGGTCTGGGTCAGACTCTGGCTCCAACATGTAAGGCTGGATGGACAAGTCTTGTCCCCCTTGTTTACATCCTTTAATCAATTTATAAATAAAACATTTCTGCGCAGCTAAAAAGATGTTAAACCCCTCTATCAAACTGGAATGATCCGGTCTATAAGCTGGAGGGGGGCGGAGCGTGAAGCGCCTTGTTTGGATTTAAAGGAACGGCATCAAAACGAGCTGCTTTGTGACACACATAAGAAAAAGGGTGAAAGAGGGGCTGGTAAAGTTAAAATAAGGAGGAATTCAGACCAAAGCATTACAGTTCAACTTTATAAAGACCACAACTGAATGATTTAAATGTGAAAAACAAGGATTTAAAAAGCATGATATGTCTCCTTTAAACCACTTTGGTCTTAGCTCTGTTTGAACTAACCACTAGCACATCACACTGACTGGAATTAAATGTGTTCTCCAAAATGAGGTTGTTTAAGGAGCTATCTACAACAGGTAAGATATTGTTTGCAATTATTTTATCCACAAAACCACACTATTTTTTTTAATAGTTTCTGCCACTTTATGTGCAAAGAGTAACCAAAATCCCAGGAAGTCACTGCTCCCAATCAGCACTGGAAATTTGAAGTGAACAAATTCACAGCCTGATGGCATTAGGACCCCCCAACCCCCCACCTCCTCCGGGCGCAGAAGTCGTCTTAGAAACGCCGCCGCAGGTTTATGGAAAAAAACTCACAGGGATTTTAAATTAATCCCCTTGTCTCCTGGCTTTAATTATCCACAGACACACAGTTTTAGGAGCCTTTTGTCCACATTTGGAGGCTGGGATTGAGGCCAGGCTATGGAGAAATGTGATAAACTCGACACAGAGCTCTGTAACACCATGGAGTGCAAACACTGTGACATTGATGTGTTGTGCCGTAAATTACAAACCTAGTAAATGTGGCAGATGGCAAGTGATCGCTAGAGACTGTAGCGCTGTATGTTTTCCAAACAATATTCATCACCTTGATGCTGCGAGTGGCAGCTTTAAAAAGTCCAACTAGAGAATAATCAGCAACGATAGAACAGTTTAGTTGGTTTATCCTTTTTTTTAAATACAGAAAAAGCAACAATATTGAGAATAAACTGCCGGTGCAACAAATCTGAGTGATTTATTTAATAAAAAATAATGTTTGCTGAAACGTTTGGGTAAAAAATTGACATAACTTCAACCTCCCCCACCAATGATTATTTTTAGTTAATCTAAACCATGATAATCCCCACCTCGTCTCAGTCCACTCATCATACCCAGTCAGATTACACATGAGACCTCAATCATATTACTCCAATTGATTTATGTAATGGCCTATCTTTGACCTCTCCAGGGTCAAAAACTCCTGAATCGTTCCCATAAATCTGCTTCAGTGACATCTGCCACTGAAACCCGCACCAACATCAATAGTAAGCCTGCACAGACACTAATAGCAGTCTATATTAGGAGGACCAGTTCCTATGGGAGACCACAACCAGCTCCTCCCTGAGACATAAAAAATCCTTCCTCACTGGACTAATGATGAGGGATGGAAAAGCCTGACTGTGATAAAAGCCTTGAATGCATCACAATGCCCTGGCACCGCCTTCCAGATTGTGTTTGGTAACAAAAGTCTGTTGATGTGACTGTCATCTGATGACGTGACCACTGCCAAAATAAAGTCAGCGTGGAGCTCGATTTATGGGTGAACATGCTCCTGGAAACTTTATAGGTTTTCCAAGGTTGGTTGTAAAAGTGTTCTGCTTACAAATCTGAACATCACGTCTCATTCTCACAAAGCCTTTCACCAGCTCGTCTCAGACAGTCGCAGCCCAGTGAGACACAGTTTGTGATCGACCGCATTTCATGGCTGTGGGCGATCATGTAAATGCCTGCCAGAGTGTGTTTGTGTTGCTGTCTGTTAGCAAAAAAAAAAAAAAATTAATATCTCATGAAGCAGTGGAAATTTTAACAAAATTCTCAGGAAGTGAAAGTAATCACTGGATGTACATTAACAAATAGAGGTATCCCAATTCAAGATGGCTGCCGCAACAAATGCTTTGTAGCAAACACAAAAACAACTGTCCAACCTGCATAGAGCTCAAATGTAACGTGGCAGTAGCTGGGAGTCATCCTCAAAGCATACTCTGAGGGCTGCCAGATCGCACAAGATCTTTGACAACTCTGTGAGGCGGCAGTGATGCACATTCTGCTTCATTTAAAACTTAAATTTACCAGAGAACAACTTTCTCAGAAGTATAAATGCATAATTGTAAACTTGTGAAAGGTGAGTTGTTTTCTGTGGGGCTGTTGTTGTGTTAATTTGGCACCTTTCTCCTTTTAAAACCAACACCAGCTGTTATTTCTTCAGAGAATGCTTACCTTGACATTTCCTCACACCACAGTTTGAGCCCGAGGCAGGAGAGAGGAGGAGAGAGAAGTGTGTATCTGCACTCCTCTTTTCTAAAAAGGTAACTATGGTCTAATTAGAGGAGAGGCTCTGACGAAGTCACAAACATCAGCTTGTGAGTGAGTAATTATTCTCTAATAAAGCCCGACATCCTCTCACCCTCAGCTGGAATCAGAACCGTGTTGCTGTCATCCCGCGGCAGCTTCCATCTGACAAAAACCAAAACGGGCCTCAGTTAGAAAAGGGCAGGCAGTGGGGGGCCGCCTCACCTTTAACATCTCGCACTCCATCAAGCCCATTAGCAGATTGGATTTCCCAGCTCATCCCTGCCGCTGATTACAGACACTGCCAGCAGAACTTCATCCCGCGATTCATCAGCTCGCTAATTATTTGTCTTCTTTTAATGTTGAGTGGCATCCGAGTTCTTCACCAGGATGAATAATTTAGCAGCATCTTGCAGAATTGTTCGCTTACTTTCTTTCTTTTGAATCTATTTTGGCTATTTTTTGGTTCTGAAACAGATTAAACCCAAAGTAAAAGTTGTAATCTGGAAGTAACCTACCAGAACTCTCCATCAATAACATGGCCGACAATGACTTAAAAATTGACATGAAAATATCTGAAAAGTGTATTTTAAATGAGCAGAAATGACGCAACGATTAACCAAACTTTGAAAATGACTGTTTAACACCACCCTGTGCAACTGGACTGTAGACTTCCTTACCAATCATACACAGTGGGTTAGAGTGGGTTACAACATCTCCTCCACTCTTTCCATTAACACCGGCGCGCCCCAGGGGTGTGTGTTAAGCCCTCTGCTCTACACCCAGTTCACACATGACTGCTCTGCCTCTTCTCACTTCAACTTAATTGTCAAGTTTGCAGACGACACCACCGTCCTCGGCCTTATCATCAACGGAGACAAGAGGGACTACAGGACAGAGGTGCAACATCTGGCCTCACGGTGTGAAAGCAACAACCTGGCTCTAAACACCAAAAAGACCAAGGAAATGATTGTGGACTTTAGAAAAAAAACAACCAGAACATCACAGACCCCTCTCCATCAGTTCAGACGCACTGGAAAGGGTCATCACTTTTAAAGTTTTGGGAGTAACCATAGCAGAGGACCTGTCCTGGGGCACGCACATTGCCTCCGCTGTCGGAAAGGCCCAGCAACGCCTTTTCTTGCTGAGGAAGTTGAGGAGCTATCACATGTCTAGACCGCTGATGGTGAACTTCTACAACTGCGCCATCAGCAGTGTTTTGACATATGGCTTTCTGGTGTGGTTCTCCAACTCCTCCAAAGCACTCCAGCGTGTGGTGAAAACAGCAGGGAAAATCACTGGGGCGCCTCTCCCAGTGATAGGAACCATCTACACCACATGCTGTCTACGGCGAGTGCAGAACATCCTGTGCGACTGCCACCATCCTGCACATCACCTGTTCCAACGGCTACCCTCAGGTAGAAGGTACAGGTCCCTACAGAGCCGGACTAAAAGACTAGCCAACAGCCTATACCCCCAGGATATAAGACTTCTGAATTTACAGGGCTGTTGAGAAATATCTCTGTCAAATGTTTACAACATAATTACTGTGGCTACCTACTTACTACTTATCTATTTACTTATTTATTTATTATAGCAGGGCTGGGGAGCTGTTTATTTGTTTATTCATTTATATTTTTGAAAGATGCATGTATGCAAGCACTGGTGTCCCTTCTTTTTTCTTTCTTTTTTTTTTTTTTTTTACCTCGTATGCACTTTAAATGGAATCTGCCCCTACCACTGAGTGTTGTACAATGACAATAAACTCTTGAATCCTTGAAACTCATGATTACAGAGCACTGATTGGTCATATCAGCCAATGCCAAGCAGTTCAGCTCTTCAAACTTGGGTTTATTGTGATGCAAGATTAGTTATTACTTTGCTGTGACGACACACATTGTTCCCACTAATTCGCTGCAAACATGCCAAAGCATCAGCTTAATCATATGAACCCTGCAGGCAGAGAAGTGGCAGGGGGTCCTGTAATGTAAGAAATAGAAGGAAAAAAAAAAAAAMAAAAGTTTAAACAAACTCATTGGGCTCAGCTGCTTGCATTCCATGACAAAAGAAACACATCTGATTAAGTGTTGCTTAAAGGCCCAATCCTGCATTTCAATAGTCGCAGTGGCACCAGAGGACAGGAGGGGATAATGAGTCACATCTGTCTCCAGCTGCCATTTACAGAGGTTCAAACAATGAAAGATGATAAACTTGTGGAAATAAGTAAAAGCTTCACTGTGATGATGACTGAAGAGGCGATGATAAACCGGTGGTTTCACTAATCTGAAGGTTTAGTGACATGAAGGGTCTCTCATTAGGCAGAAACAAATGAATCCTGGCGATCGAGACAAAGTCTCCGTTGAACCGTGCAATCAACCATGAATGGCCCTGCACTCACCTAACCCTGAGCGTGACCGGCCTCGCTCTCGGTGCACTTCCTCGAGCGATCGACTTTCTGCAAGGTGCTTGAGCCTACCCGAGAGAAACAGAAGTGGAGGGGGAGACTGCAGCAGAAGTCTGGGGTTCAGAGGTTGACCTGTCTGCAGCACCGAAGCTCCAGCGCACTCCAGAGAGCAGCCGTCACAGGAGCGCCAAGTAGATTGTGACGTCTGCGGCTCGGAGCCGAGAGACGTTGTCAAACCGGCGATGACTTTTTGTGATTCTCGTGCGGAGAGGACGACGAGCGCGCCTGCTTCTCATTCATTTTTAATTGTGGAAATGAGTAGGGCCTAATGTTAGACGCTTGTTAGAGTCTTAAATGACTTCCTGGGACGCTGCCAAGATTGGAGTTCAGCAAAATGAGGAATTTTCCACTGGTTAACTCCTGAACAGATTGAATTAGTTCAGTCTTTGTGCGCTCCCTCGCGCAACCAGATGTTATTTACTTTAATCTTTTGCAAATGTAAACATGATATTTAAGGGAGCGTCGACCCATACAGGGTGAAATGAAATAAACCAGCCACTGATACCCAACTTGGTAGGAAAGTGTTGCAAATTATTATTATTAAAACCACCTGATTCGTTCACCTTTATGTTGATTTTTACTCATCTTAGGGAATTTGACAAAGACGGGGTGGGCTGACAAGATGAAACAAGCTCCTCACACAGCCAGGTGGTATTAAATTTCAAAAGCCTGTGAGCATTTTCCATTTGGCGGACATGAAAACGCTGACCTGTAACCATAAAAAGCGATCAAATAGACTCATTTCAGCGATATGCCTGACAAATGAGGAAAAGAAGAGGAGAGAAATAAAATCAATAACCCAGGAATGGTCAAGTCTGCAGTAAAGAAAACAAAACTGGAGCATCTTTGACATTTTGCTGCGAGACGATAGAGGAGAAAAGTAATAAAACAGTTGGGGGATAGAGACAAGACCATCACCCACCCTCTACAGGAAGCCATAAATAAATGACAGCTCACACAAACTGGACACTACTATTAACAATAACGTTCTTGCCAAGATAAACACCGTCCACGCCGGTGATTATCGAGTAGGAATGTCCCTGCTGAGACATGGCTGGTCCATATCGACAATTAATTAGAAACCACGTCAAGAGGAGGAACACTTCGAAACATCCAATGTCACTTAACATCCAGTGAGTGCTTCGTTTTGGTGGCCACTTGAATTGACTCAACATAAACAGAGCAACAACATCCCAACAATTTGTCCATGAGACACTTCATCTGCAGCCTGACCTTTGTTGAGTTTACGCTCAGTCACAACAACAAGAAACACATTTATGACTCAGAGACGATGAGGGGGAAGGAAAAAATGTTTATAACATCAAGAAAACGGTCAAATCCTAACTGGGAACCACTTCCAGGACATCAGAGGTCTTTTCTTTTTTTTTTTTGTTGGCTGAAGCCAGCTTTGTGTCCCTAACCTGAATACTTTTACCAGATGGAAAAGCAAATCTGCTCAAAATGCCCCTGAAGGGGATTTGGAAAGACAATGCGTTCAGATTACACTAAACAGAGTATGTTGATGCGTGGAGACGAACAAACATATTCATGGATTCATGAATCACTCAGCAGAATCACATTTGTTTAATCTCCACAGTACTCTCCCCTCCTCCACTTCTTCTACTTCTTTTTTTTTTTACACTGGCTATGTGAAGGCAAAAAATAATAAATATTTTTAAAATAAAAGCCTCATAAAAGGAGAAAAATCTTAATATTAAACTGGAGCCACTTTCCTAATAACTCCACACAAAATGCAAATTTTGCAACTTCCCCCCCCCCCCCCCCCCCAACAAGAACTGGAGTGAAAACTTTTCCTCTGGTGGGAGAAATGCACACTGGAGGCTTTTCATCTGTGTTTTCATCTTTGCAGTCACACACACACACACACAGAGACACACACACTCTGGGCTTCAAATGTTTCAAACTGCAGGGGGAAAAAGCACACACATACACACAAACTATGCCACTTGCAAAACAATCGCACACAATGTTCTCTCGGTCCTGTTCATAAAACTACATCCACCAGTGCTGTCATCCCTGTGTGCACAGATTCAGCCTCCACAGAGGCGAGGAGGTGACACCCCCCCCCCCCCCCCCACACACACACACACCGGGAGAAGAGGGGGGAGATAAATAAATCTCACCAGCTTTACAGGGATCCTTGTAGTCGATCGCCTCTGATGTGGCAGCGGACTCCACGTAGTAGCCCGGATCCACAGCCTCCAAATCCAGCGCCAGAACCACACCGAGGAGACATGATAGAAGAAGCAAAGAGCTCGCCGACAGATCCATGTTTGTGGCTTGGGGGGGGGGGAGAGCGAAAGGGATAAAGGTAAAGGAAGAGAGAGAGAGGGACAGAAAGACAGACAGAGAGAGGGGAGAGAGGCACAGTGAGAGAGAAAATGGGAGGATTTTTGTTTAAAGGGGGGAGGATGAGAGGCAGCCGGAGGGCGGGTTTTAAATGCAGCCTCTCTCCGGTGTCTCCTCGACTCTCTGGGGGCTGAATTCTCTCCTCCAGCTGGAGCTCCACTTCAGAGCAGAGAGAGAGAGAGAGAGAGAGAAACTTTAAAAATGCTCCTCGTTTTTCAGTCACTGTGTGTGTGTTTTACAGGGTTTTATAATTAAATAAGCTCCAGTCACTAACCGAGCAGAAATATAAAGGGACATTATCATATTTAGCTATACACCAGGGGTTAAAACACAGAAAACTGTTTTTAAAGTTTTGTTTCTTTTTTTTTCTACTTTAAGTAAAGTTTTGGTCCAACTCTCTCCTTCGTGTTGACTTCAGCCTCGACGCTCTTGACGTGACCCCTCAAGCTACGCACGCATGCAATTAGTCACACGTGCGCACGAGTCGGCACCAGCCGCCCACTCGCGCCATCGCACGCGCACGCGCTCATACTTGTTTGACCTGCCAGGCTTTTTTTTTTTTTTAAACTTCAGGAGTCTGCTGCTGTCAGCAGCGCGCCACCTGCCGGCCCATTTACGAACATAACACACAAAATGATAATAAAAATGAGTGGTAGCCTATCACAACTGTTAGGATTGAGCTTTTTTTTTTAATTAACCCGCCACCAAAAGAGAAGCAATAATGTTTTTGCCCTTATAAGTGTTTGTTTTTCTGTATCGTTTTGAACTCAGGAGCCACTAAACACTGGATGCAGGGGCGCCACCAAGAGCAGGCCATGGGGGGTCAATGACCACCCCTGAAAAAAAAGGTGCACCCCTCACAGGACAGACAGTTTCATTCCTGCCCAGTAATCCAGTATCAACAACTGTTGTCTTTGAATAACTGGGCCCCCCCCCCCCCCCACCAGCAGTTTATTTTAATAGCCATGGCTTAAAGAGAAAACAAGATAATAGATATCTCCTTTGATTGATAATTCATGACAATGAAGCTATTTTCATTTTATTTATATTCCATGCCCTAATTTCTAATTTGCAAGTAGTTAAAAATATTACAAAAAGTAATAAAAGTTTGTCCCAACATAATCAGCGGGGAAAACCTGGGGACAAATAAAACTGGAGTAAAATTAAAATAACCCTGATTGTGTCTCCAATTAAAAGCATAAACTCACGTTGACTTGAAATTTTAACCTATTGTGTGACATTTAGCTCGTCTTTTCTGTACTAAAGCTTTTAGGTGCATAAGGCAAAGCAGAGACCTATATTCATAAATGTAGTCTAAAATATATGATTTCATTGTATTAATTAGAAAAATATTCTAAATGCATTTTATTCAAGTTATAATTTGTAGGATTTGTAGAGTCTATCATAAATATTGAAAAATAGGGTTAATTTTAGACGTTTTTACCATAACTGAAACTAATTTCCAGCCAAAGAACTCATCACTCTGCTGCCTGTAAACACTTGGAGGGCCAGGAAAAAATACAAACTGAAGTGTTGTGGAGACGGCAAGAAAATTCCCAAACTGTTTACTAAAACCTTATCAGGTGCTGATGATGGTAGGAAATGCAGATTATGCTGCTCCTGTTCACAAAAAAATAAATAAATAAAAATAAAAACATTTTTGATCCTATCTGCTACTTCTGTGGAACTGAAGACAGGAAATCTGCTGTAATGAGCGAGCTGCATTTCCACAGCCTCTATAAACAGTATGTGCCTAGCCTGCATTAGGGTTAAACACAAAGAAACAAATATTTAAACTAGCAAAGCAAATGCAATCGGGTAAGAGGACCACGTTTACTTTAAACGAGTAGCACTTACAAAATGTAAACAATTAGAGCGTGCATATGTGGTAAACATTAAAGCGTGGATGTTATGAGTCATTCACAGAAGCAGCTTTAATAATGTACCTGTCACAGTATTACAATGTGATTTATTAAGGTTTAAACAAGCTTTATTGGCAGATTTTAGGCACAGAATCAGGTGAAGATATAAAAGTAAAATCAAACTTCACAGTGTAACTTTAACCACTGAAATTAAGTAAGAAACATGGAGATGTTCTGAAATGTAGCTGTGACAACTAAATGAATCACTAACTGACTGGTTAATAACATTTATAGGCTAAATGGGACATTAGTGAGAAGACAACGACGTAACAGTCAAAAGTTGTTTCTTTATAAAGGAAGATTTGAGGCCGTCACCAAATTTGGCACGTTTGTCTTTCTTCCTTCTTGGCAGGAGCTCTTTTTCAAGTAGTTTGTTTACGTTCACGAAATAATCTCCTGCAGAGAAAATGAACGGACCTTGTTGATTTGTTTGTCTGAATGCAGGAGTGGTAAAAGTCAAAGAGGAGATTTAAGTAACAGAATCTGAGCGTTGAGCAGCAGCACTCTTCCATGCTCCTCCTGCCGTCTCCCTGGAGGGTCAGCTTTGAGTCTTGTGGTCTTTGTGTGTCCTTTGCTGCAGAGAGATCCGAGTCTCATCCAAGGCTCCACGCCACCGCCGACACACTGCACCATCTCACATCAGACGCTCTGCAGCTCCACAAGGAGACAGGGAATTTATGGCTGTAAAAGGGCACAGTCAAATTAAAAGGCAAAGCTATTTTTGTTCATTTGTTAGGAACTTTCTACTAATATAACCTAATGGGAAATTAACATTTTTCACCTACATCCAGAATCATCACAAGTAGAATATTTTCAGCCACTGACATCTTAGTGGATTGGCTATTAAAACACTGCATCTACCTTTGACCTTCACTGAATTTGCTGTAATTTGTTATTGTAATTCCCCATGAAAAGCAGTGATTAGATAATTGAACTTATTTCCACTTAAAGGTACTTCTAAATGCTCAGTGGATGCACCAACCGTTTATTTATACACCAAAATTGCACATTAGTTTGCATAACACCATGACAAGTTGTTCAAGGTTGGATTATTGATCAGCCGCTAGTGTTTACAACCAGTCAACGAGGACACTAACAAGCTGCCAAAACGAGACAGAAAGAAGCCAATTTGTGCTAAAATGTTAGAAAAAAACAAGCTCCAAGTAAACTGTGTCTTAGACGGTGACATGACACACCTTGGGCTCATTTGTTGGAGCTGCTGCCACATTTTCCCCAGCTTGGCTGAGAGACACTGCTCGACTCGGCTGTGCTCCTCGAAGGGTCACCGTTATAGAGCCCGGTGCTTTCTGTCCCCCTAACAACACAGAAACAAAATAAATGCTCAACAGCAACAAAACTAGATGAGCCTATATATAAAATAAATAAATAAAAGGAAGAATCTAGCCACAAACTTTAGCTTGATGTCATGAAAGTTTGTTAATTTGGCAGATTCGAACAGAAGCAGGGTGCTGAATGGTGAACATTAATTTTCAGAAGCTGGCGTAAGGAAAAATGCAAAGACCGTTCAGATGGACAGAGCAAAACTGAAGACAAAAACAAAACAAGAAACAATGAACGAGTTTGATTCCAGTCTTTATTTTAACAGCATGAACACATGTTGAATAATGCTATGTAGAAATGTTAATGTTGCAACAAGAATCTTCAAGAGATCTTGTTTATGTTCATGGAGATTTAAGCAGGTGATTAAAAAAAAAACTTTACAACTTACAAAATGAAGAGGTCAAACAAAACATGCAATGGCAGTTATAAAAAAAAACACAACTAACAAAGAAAGCAGTGTTTTATTACAAATTAGGCCAACTCATTTAACATTACCTTCATTCTTCAGAATCAAATGACTTCACAGTTCTGCTTTATAATTGCATTTCTTTCCACATAAACATGTGTCCAACTTAGATGAGATTTTCAAACTGAGTTTCTCTCATATGGCTTTTTGTAGACATGAAAACAAAACATGCTAATGCCTCCGATGTTAAACAGCTGCACATCTGACCCAGCAAACTGTACGCCCGTTTGGTTCGTCCAGGCGAGTGCTCTCCAAACAGGGTGGTCCTCGGCCTTCCTCTAACACAGAAATCCTCCCTGACCTACAGACGTGCCGAGCTACTGTTTCCTAAACGAAGCACGAATGAGGCGCGGACGCTCAACGAGGCCGTCGCGGTTTGGCAGTTCGACACATACCAGCGGTCTGATTAGTGATGTGAGCCAAGCCGGGCAAGCTGCTGGCCAGTTTGGCCAGCCCGCCGTTGGTGAGCAGCTGATGGATGGCTGTGGTTTTGGCGACTCCCCCTGCGGTGACCACAGGCACTGTCCGGAGCAGAGTGCTGCCGCTGGTGCCGACCGAGCTCAGGACCGGATCCTGAGACTTACCACAAAGCGCCTGTAGGTGGAGGGAAAAAAAAAAAAAAAACAATAATTGAAGACTTTCTTAGAAACGTAAGAAGCAGAGTGCTCATACTTTTAGTTTTTATTCAAATAAAATCCATGTAAACTCCACCTTTCTGAGTGGAGTTTGCATGTTTTCTCTGTGCATGTGTGAGGTTTTTTTCCCACAGACTAAAAATATGCATGTTAGACTAATTTGTAATTGTCCAAAGGTGTGAGTGAGAAAATAAATTGTTGGTTGTCTCGTTTGTCTCTGTAGGCATTTTTGCACTGTTAGGCCCGGCTCGGCCCAGCAGAATAAACTTGAGCCAAGCACATAAATGAATCGTGTTCTGCTGGAGTACCTGGGTGCTGCCTGCATTTGTTGCTGTGGATGGTAAGTTAGGAGCTTTGGTCACGATCTCCTGAAGACTGAAACTTAGACCTTGCAGAAGACTGCTTGCTGAAGGTGCTGCAGAAACCAAACAAAACAAAAAGAAAACAGACAGCAAATTAGTGAAGTTGAAATTTGAGTGAAATTCAACAAAACCTCTACTTTCTTAAAATGCTCCCTGAATTAAACCCTGCAGAGGTCTACACTAACTGGACCCACACTACAAACACAGGTAAGCACAAAACCATGTCCAAAGGTAAAGGATTAGATCAGTGGAAAGCAGCAATGGCGCAAGAGGTGATCAATGATGATGTTTGCTGAAATATGTTGTTTTTGATCCAGAGTTCAGAACCTGAATCCCGCTCAATAAGGCAGACGGAACAGCTCTGTGTGTTGAAGCTGCTGGACCGAGATCATTTGCACAGTTTAGTACAAACAAGCGTGCAAAGCAGGACGAGACAGAGGTACCTTGGGCAGTAGCTGGAGCTTGCACCTGGACTGGTGTGGAGGACACCGACACCATACAAGGCTGCACGCTGCTGAATGAGCTGGAGCCTGGGGACAGGGCACCAGACACCTCTGAGAGACTACCAGACCTGCAGTGACACACATACCACCAGTCTACTCAGGAGCTGCCCCCAAAAAGTCCTGTTTGACCACTATTCAGATCCTAAACTCTGAGTATCACCACTCATCAATCCCTCTGCACCAGACACATTTCTGTCCAACAGGCTGGGTGTAGATGTGGGTGTAGTAGGAACAGGGCTTTGTGTGCTGTACACGTAATGTGTGTGTGTAGCAAGAGTGGGCAAGCTTACTGCTGGCCTGTCAGAAGTCCAGAAAGCTCCTTGGCACCAGCCACTGTTTGTCCCATTGCCACAGATAATGGTTTGCCAGAGACACCCACTGCATCAATGAGCACAACAACAGCATAATCAGTTATTACGTCTTGAGGTTAATTAAAAATATATATATACATAAACTTGTGTTTTTATATATAAATAACTTTTGTGAAGAGGGCCAAACATAGATAGTCAAGCACTCTTTTTTTTAGCATCCCCCCCATTTTTGAAGTACTGCAAACCAAACAACAGTAAAGTCTCACATTTCATCTGGAGATCTGAATGAAAACTATTCAAAACTCCTGTCTCCTTACTGGTATGTTATCTATCTGGGAAAGCCCAAACATCATCCGTTCATTTGGGTCATGAAAAAAAACAAACATGTTTTTGAAGACACTGATAGAAATTTCCGAACTACATTTCATACAAATGATATCACTGGAACAGATCATATTAAATAAACTTGATATTTATTCTGAAAATTGTTTTTGTTGTGTTTTCTGTGGTTGAGAAACACAAACTTGAATTTAATTGCTACTGAGGACACTTGAAAAAAATCACCCCACTATCTGAAATACCAGAGGTAATGGTGGCAGCAGGTTTATCATCAAGAATAAAAACAGTGGCTGAAATCTTCCTAACAGATGCTTTTTGGGGAAATCAAAGAAGTTAAGGAGGTGTTATTATTATTACTGAACTACTGGATTATTATTATTGGACTGTCAACAGCTGCTGAACAGCGTTCAGATGGGGTCTCCTAAATAACAACTTATTTGGCTCTCAACTTTCGTACAAGTTAGAGGTGAGCTGTCCTGGTACTTGAGTTTTGAACAAGTTCAAAGAATTTGCGCATCATTTTTTCCTCTTGAAATAGGCACAAACTTTTTGTGGGTGTCCACAGAGCTGCATTTTGACCCCTGCACCTGCTCTTCTTCGACAGAAAACATGTTGTGGTCTAAAACCCACGCTGATTACAAATGCTCATTATGCATTAAAAAAAACTGGTTCAAGTCAGCCTGTCTCGATTTCTAAAATGTATTACAGCAGATTAAATAATAAATGTGGGGGGAGATGCCAAGTTGTGTGCAAAATGAGCCGAGGTGGGCATCAAAACAGTGGGCACAGTGAAGAATGCAGTTTTGCAAACTGAGAACAAAAAAACAGGCCGTGATTTAAAAAAAAAAAAACCTGGCCTCTTGTTGTTAAGTTATTGATAATTTAGTGAGACTGCAACAAAAAATTCACGTTTTTTTCCTCAATTTTCTCACAACCAACTAGTCTCCCAACAGTGGCAGATTAGATTCCACCTTTAATATGAACCACGAGCTTTCCTGTTCACACAATAAAATATAGTTAAAAGGTCAACTCTCCACTCTACCATGCTGAAATACATGCTGGGCTTTTTAATGTAAAACAGATGCATCAACTACCATCAGCATTCAGCTAAATATAAAAAATGTCACCAACATTAATTACATGTTGGATATTTATTTAGTCAACCCTGCTTTTAAGACTTTTGTAACGTCTGTGGCCTCATTGCTTCGCATGTTGGGATATTCCCACTTGAAAGTTTCTAATGAATCACGTGTGAGTGCAGAAGATTACCTGGTTTTGTATACTCAGCAGGGTTGATGGTGCTTCCTGCCGACTCGCTCTGGGAAACGATAGTGACTTTGATCTTTGCCTTCTTGGACACTTTGCTCGGCGTGGGGCTGGGCGTCTGCCTCCTTTTGCCATGAGGGCGCACTTCATCTCTGTCCAGGCCTTCCATCTGATCACCGCTGACTGGCACTGCACCACAGGCACGAGGACACACATGCACACAATAACACATGACTTGAGCCTGTGGTGTTTTATTATTTTTTGATATTTCATTAATTTAATTAATCAACGTTCCATTGTCTATGACTTAATGTATGTAATAATACAAAAGCTTTTTATAATTTGGTAAATTAATTAAATTCAAAGTTGTGAAAACAAAGAAATGAGAGAAAAAGGAAAGAGGAAAGAAAAGCATGGATGAGGGACAGACACTTACCAAAGATACAAGGAGGAGTGCCAGGAGGAAGGTTTTTCCTCACAAGCATGTTTTGTTTCATGAAAGCAGCAAACTGAGCTGGAATGAATTGGGGAGAAAAAAAAAGCCAGAAAGGAAAGTCGTAGAAGAAGAGACAAGAGGAAAGCATTTCAGTCACGTTCCATCTCATCCCATCAGATGCTGAGACGTGGTTTTTTTCCCCCACCACATCTCTTATACCACCCCACCTGCTCAGCTCACACATTTTGTGAAAAGTTCAGGAGCTGAAGTGAATAACTCACAAAGTTAAAAAACACAAAAGGAGCAAAGGCCGCAGTAATAAGTAAGACTGTTAACTAACCTTGAGCCTGCTTGTGAGTGAGAACAGTGCCCGAGCGCTGCATGTGAGTTTTGAGGAGCTGCGTAGCGGTGATCAGACTGGACTTTTGGGCCGGCGACAGACCCGTGGTCTTGGGTTTGGGGCTTGATGTGGGGCTGCTACAGACGCTCGACAGATCCTGAGGAAAAATAATTAAGGAGGAACACTTGAGTTTATAATTACAGTGCGGTGTTTTGTACCTGAACACAGCTGTAATAAAGTACAGTGTTTTTGAAGCACCAATTCAAAACTGTAATAGACAGAACATTTGGATCAATGTGTAGTAAACTAAACATTCCCATTAAAATCATGAGAAACAAATGAGCCGATGCAAAAAAAATTCTTAGTAATTCAAATAGTTTGAATGACAGATTTTACATTATATTAAAGTTAAATTAAAAAACACTGATACAATTATTAAAAAGACAGCTTTGAAGCATTTTTCTTTTAAATGGCTTATTTATAGTTTTTTTCCTCACCTCCGAACCAGAGGGTGAGATGGGAACTCGAAGCGCCGGAGACGAAGGTCGCCCTCTCTCCACATCAAAGGGAAGCTCTCGCCGAGGCCTTTTCTTCTTCTCTGTGTCCAAGTCTCTCATCTCTCCTGAACCATGACTGTGGCCCTCCGCCCGAGTTAGGACACCCGACAAGAAGTCAGCTATCTCATCCTAAAAAAAATTAAATTAAATTTAAAAAAAATTAATGTATATAAGAATCACACCAACAAATGAGAAATACACTGTAGAAAATTATTATTTTCAATTACCTGAACGCAGCGATCCACCATTGACTGTGTTAGTCCTTCTGATTTCATCTTTGCTGAGTTGATTCTGTGGAGGATTTCTGTGTTAAAACTCAACACAGTTCAACATGGGACAAACAGAAGTGAAACCAAAGGTGCAGCCTCTCAGTGTTACTCATCTCTCTGCCTCAGATAAAATAGGACAATTTAGACTCAGATTGTATCGCTCCCATACTATGAGGGCTCTGAACAATGTGGTTTATTCAGTGAAGGGAAAGCTAGAACATCACTCCAAAAGCTTGCATGCACAAACATGCAATGCATGACTCACTGAATAATCTTCACAAAAAATAAAATAAATAAATGTTTTGTTGCAGCTGTTTGCTCCATTTGTGATTGACAGACCAAGCACAAGTGGCACAGACTTACTTACACATATGCCAGCATCACATGATATTTAACTCTGTGTTAACTATGAGACAAATGAAATTCACCTCTTTATTCTGAGTCTATATGTTCACACAAAAATGAGCCACTAAGCTGCGATAATCCCAGTTTTAAAGTGCAAAATAAGAGGTTACAAGGAGGCTGCGTGCTCTGATATGACGTTCATAACGCTACAAGCTCTTCATGAATCTAACAGCTGCTGTTGAGTTGAAGTATCCATATTTTACCCTTTAAGATCTAAGACCGACCTGAGGTTGTCGTCTGCTCCTCCCACCACCACCATGCTGTTGTCTGCCCTCAGCTTCTCCCTGAACTCCTCCATGCCGTCCGTAGTGCACTGCAGAGCGTTCTGTCCCACCACAAACAGCACGGGGGTCTTCATGTCCAGCAGTGGGTCATCCACATCCTGCAAACCAGTAACACGGCACTAAATATTAACTGTGAACACTGACATTTTTCTGCCCAAAAAAATAAAAAAATTCTAAATTCTTTTTAAGTGTGTAAAGCTTCTTTCTTACCCCTCTTGGCCCATTAACTGTTAGCAGAGGGAAGCCGAGACACACCACCGCAGTCAGATATTCCACAAGAGATACCTAAAATAAAAAAGTATCAGGTTAATCACGTATTTTTTATCCATGTGTTTTTTAAGCTTACATTAAACTCTTTGATAAGGCTTACATGACACGCGATAAGAGCACCAGCGTTCCAGCCAACCAGGACGATGGGTTTGTGTGGGAAGTGACTGTGAACCTGTTGAAATGTTTTTTAATATAATATTAGCATAGCTGCAAAAACAAATATGAAATTCAACATAACGTACTGTAATATACTGAAATATTCCACATTCCTATTAAAATAAATCTGATCTGGAGAAATGATTATTATAATAAAACTAGAATATCTTACCTCCATGACTTTGGCTCTGACCGTCCCCAACATGTGCTCCAAACACTGCGAGATTCCCACGTTGGCTCCACTGTTCACATGCGTGTGCACTGGGATCACCTGACGTACAAACAGAGCTCCTGAACTTGTATCTCAGACAAAAAGGAAAAAGTCTTGTACAATACTGATGACGTATGATAAATATTTGACTGAGTGAGGTTTCAGACCTTTCCTAAGCAGGAGAGCTGCGACTGCCAAAATCTCATCCGCCGTGAGGTGGAGAGAGCAGGGTTAGTCGGGCTGGATGGAGCAATGAGGATGAGAGGGGACCCGGGAAGTTTGCTCTGAATGTGCAGAAGTACAGACAGGAATATGAAGTTTGAAACAAAGATCTTGTGGAGAGAAACACAAAAAGTTGAAATTAATTATTTTTTTTTAAAGTGTAGGCTTTTACCGGTTTGTTTTGCGACAGTACTCCGACAGCCGGGTCCCAAGGACGTTTCAGGAGCAGCGACAAAGCCTCTGCGCTCGGAGCTCCAGTCTTCGCAGAGGGCAGCAACATTCTGTCGATCAGCGAGGGCAGCTTTCCAGACAAACACGGGATAGCGATAATTAAAATAAAACAAAAACACCCAAGCCTTTGAACACGCAGATATTGTCATTCAGTTTCTGAGATCACACCTTGCTCTTGAGTGTCTGCAGCACATCCAAGTACGCAGCAAGCATGGCAAGGCTTAAAGACTCGATCAGAGTCGTGTGTAACCACTGCGTCAGTTTGGCGTCCCAGTTCACGCTGGCGAGTGCGTGTCGTACCTTCCTGGCACACTTATCCACCGCTATTCGCCGCAAAATGGGTTCATTGCAAGCCTAAGGAAAGGAGAACACTGTTAGTACTCGCCTGCTGTCTTACTTGAGAGGTTTTCACCAAAAAAATCTCCTACAAAGTGGTTTTACTTTCACTGTAAAATTCATTTAAGGGGATTATATAATCCAACAGGAAAAAGCAACCACATGGTTACACCATCCACATACATTAGCTCTGCCAAAACATGTGATTTTAAACTGATATATGTCCAAACAACTGGCAATGTTTGAGAATACAAACTAAATTAAAACGAATAAAATCACACTAATAATAAAAACGTTACGTTTTCATTGGCCAGACGTGCTAGTCTTTCAGCTTGAAGAGCTTTAAGGACTTTGTTGAACAGTTTGTTCTGCACCACAGACCATCCCGTCCTGAAAATGCATAAACAAAATCGCAAAACAGCACACTGAAGCTGGGAGGTTTATCACAAGCAGTGTCACATATATTGTTACTATTTATGAGAGAGTCAGTCCACGTGTTTGATTACTTGTTTATATGTTCCTCCCAGTCCTCGGGGGGCGGGGGGCTCTCGGCAGCGGTTCGAGCAAATAGAACGTGCCGCTCGCATTCCTTCATCACACTGAGAGCTTTCTGGTTGTCGTATAGAGGAATAGGTGTTGGTGTGACCGTTTCTATGTCTATTTGAGATTCTGAGTCTCTGTGTGAAACAAACAAAAAGCAAACACCCTTCAAATTACTGTAACATTTGAAAATAATTTAACCTAACTTATAATGACAAATTTTCAGCAGGCAGATATCAAAAATGGAGGCTAACAACATGATAAATAGTCTGACGTTTACTTGATTGTCGAGTTTAGAGGCTTTTATACTCACGACGAAGGTTCAGGTTGGCGACGTGGCGTCACAAACAGGGTCCTTGTAGGCCGAGCGCTGCTGGCATCTGGGTGAGCGTTCCATGGTTTGGCATAGCTGTGATCCAGGCATACCAAATCTAGGTCCCGCTCGTATGCAGACAGCTGGAAAAGTAAAGATGTACCCATCTTGCGCGCAGCTGCCTGCAAGTCTTTCTCGCCACGATGCATGCTTTCCCTGGGCCTCAAAAGGCCCGCAAGACTGCAGAAAATTGTGGGAATCAGGCCAAGCTGGGAGAAACAAAAGAATATCCAATACATGTCAAAATATGACAACGTGGCTGCTGAGTTTTTCCTCCCTCGATTCACTTTTCAAACAGTAAAATGGCTCAAAAAATGATTCAAACCTGCGAGAACTTATTGCAGGTGATATTAAAAGTCTGACCATTTTGATTACACTATTTGGAAATGATTTTGATCGATGTCTATTTGATTACTTGTTCAACTCTTACAATAATAATGATCAATGAAATGCACATGCTTGTACAAACATGTATGTAGTCATAATCAGAGCCCTATAGAAAGAGAGTTGCGACACTCCCATTGGCTTCCATAGAAAGAATGGAATGCGGAAGTCACGTGGTTCATGGAGCCTCAAATAGTTCCAAACAGAGCGAGAGGCTTCATTGAGCGCAGTTCATTTTCAATGTTTCCGAAGTTTTTTCCGCCGGTAAGTTTTGAAAATCCAAATTTTTTTGCTATTGTGAAGCATTAGCTGACTGTTCTGGACCAAAATATGTCAACAGTGATATTTCATTTTGTCAGTTTTATTTAATTAATCGTATTTACTAGCTAGTAGTTAGGCCTACAGCAGGACTGACTTCAATGAACTGTTAAAACATTTACCATTATCAGACTGAACAAGAAAATAACTATGTAAAGAAAATAAGAAAAATATATTGTGTGTGTGTGTGTGTGTGTGTGTGTGTGTGTGTGTGTGTGTGTGTGTGTGTGTGTGTGTGTGTGTGT